AATGGCTAACGCACACCTCAATCACACACTGACACACCTGCCCCAGCCCTGTGATCTGCAGCTGGACTGCAGAGGTTCACGCACCCACGCAGCTTCCCAGACCATGCTCTCCCAACAGAGAAATGCCCATAGTCACCTCAAAGGCCGCCTTCTCCAACTGATGGCGCTTCTCGGCCTCCTGCAGCTTTGCAAACAGCCTCTTTGCCGTCTGCCGGACTTTCTCCACGTCATCTCCTGAGTAATCCTCTTCCTGCAGAGAGGTTAACAGGACAGGCTCAGCAGTAAGGAGATTTCAAAGGATTCCCCCCCTCCTTTCTGTGGGCAGCACCGTTGGTTGAAAGCCTACAACATCAAATCTCAGCATGGATGATGAGAGGAGCTCCCATCCTTACCTCCCACCCTTCAGCAACAGCTTCCAGCCCTCAAGATAACACATGCAATATCCTTTGGTTGCCTTCCAAGCCCTGTTTGCAGGGATGCCATAGTGATCCATGCTTGGGAAACCCAAAACCCAGCAACAGGAACCAAGTCCACAGCAACTGAGCCTGAAATTCCAAACCCCAACCCTGAGCTACTGTTCAGATGGTTTTCTGCTTCCAGGCAGAGCATCTGCCCTGGCCAGGGGAAAACAAAATTAAGAGCTTAAGAAATATTTACCAACTTCAGACTTCTGTGAGCCCTGCTTCTAAAAAGTTCTCAGAGATCTAAAAACCCATTATGTACATTTTATAATAAAGCTGCAGTCCATTTCTGACCTGATGCTGATAGAAGACTAATGCTACAGCTAGCTGTAAAAGGCAAGGCAGAAGTGTCTGATCGCATGCAGGCTCCAAGTTGCCTGCTGGGAGGAAGATTTCAAAAGAAAAGCCAGTGCGTCTGTTCATAATTCAGAAATCCCCCTTTTGGCTACATACCTGATCCTCCCAGGAATCGGCACGTAGCCTCTCTGGGTAGAGCCAGCTTCCGTTCTGCTTTTCCAACACGACCTATTTAAGGAAAGGTCACACCAACTGCCATGTAATGCTTCCCAGCCTAGCCACTTGCAAAAAAGCAAACAGTCGCATGCAGACAGCTAGCTCTGGGGCACCACAGCAACTTGAGAAGGGAGTGTTTTTTTTTTTTTTTTTTGCACATAAACATGCATTAGCGCATTTGGCCAGCCAATGCATGTTGCTTACTGACTCCTCATTACTTGCTTCTGCAGGTTTCTAATTTTACCTGTAAGCAGTGCTGAGGTGGCTTTTACTCGCCACAAGCACCTCAGCCTTGGGCCCCTTTTATCATTTTCTGGACCCAAAGATGACATCTTGTTTAAAAAAAAAAAAGTGTCATTTAAAGCCCGAGAAATGTTCCCGTTACCTGTGCAGGCTGTTTATCTCCTTGTCTGTTCTCAAGTTTACTACTTAAGTCTTCCCGCAGCTTCTTCAAAGAACTTCTAGCCTGGCAAAGGCAAGTCAATTTAGCTTGATCTGCATGAACAGTGCCACTCAGCCCAACAGAAATCAAACGGAGGCACAGCAGCTCAGATGACACCCTGCGCCAAGACGCAATCAATTGCTTCTGTACCAACTTGTATTCTGGTTTTGCTCGAGACCTGCCTGCAAGCAGTGCTCTCTGCAGCAGTTATGATCCATTGCTAGGCAGCTTTATCATAGGATCACAGGCAAAAAAAGCAACAATCTGGAGACGCTACTGATTTTTCAGTAATCATTGATTTTGCCTTTGAAGAGATCACCACAAGCCACAGCTTGGAAGTGCTGAAAAGACCCCAGCTGTTCCCCAGCTCTGTCCCTGCCACCCTGCAGGACTCGGACAAGTAGAGTCTTGACTTGCAGCTACCTGAATTAGTCAGAGAAAGGGAGCCAGGGGAATGACTTATGGGCCTTTTCCTCAGCCATAGCAAATGCTGACGGGCTGCGACTCCAGTGTTTTTCCAAGAGAAAAAGCTTCTCAAAGCATTACGGCGTGGCTTTGTCCTGCCCCCCAGTAACACGCTGCTGGATTTTAGAGACCCAAGGCAGCGGGGTGAAGCCGTTCACCTAAGAGCGGGCAGTGGCAGGACTGCGCAAGAGCACACCATGTTGCTTGTGGGGCAGCAATTGAGTCCTTAACCCAAGGATGGCAGTCAGTTACTCTGCTCCAGCTAGATCAAGACATCCAAAAGGTTTTTTGATTGCACGAGCCAGTGCAGAGCACTTTTCTTCAACGCAGACGGACTGGTACCAGCACCACATCTTACTGGTTTAGCTTATTCTCTGGTTTTCACATGCAGGATTAAGTTGTACTGCACGATTATGCCGCTTCAGCTATTCTGATAGGGCTACAGCCTTCACAGCAAGACAAGGGCTAAGTCACACACGACTGTTACTAAGAGGCCTTTTGAAACCTGACTCCTGTTTCCATCCCAGCTGCTGGGAGCTAGAGGAAAGCTCACATCAGAAGAGATGAAGTGGAAGCCCCAGCAGTGGGGAGGATTGCACACAAAATGGCAGCATCCAGGCAGTTAAGAGATAAGGTCTCAGTGTTTAATGCTTCCTGACCACCCCCCCCCCCCACAGACAGGAGGCAGCATGAACACTGTTTTCTTACGGGGTGGGGCGGGAGGGGCATGCATTTTGGCAGAGGAGTCAGAAGGATGCCATAAAAGATCTGGAGACTGCACTACCAGATCTGCCCCTCGCTTCTCCCTGGGACCAGGGCCCAGCATAGAAACTCCCCACTGAGAGCAAGCCCAAATTTAAATTTGGGAGTTGGGGTTGTTCTTTTTTGCCAAGTCAAGCTACCCAGACCAGAACATGCATGCAACCGCTTCCATGTCTTGCAACCAGCTCTCTCCACCTCTCCAGAAATAACATCCCCACCAGGAGCAGAGGAAAGGGTTACTCTCCCAACAGCCTCATCATCCAGTTTACTTTGGGAGATGAGACATACCAAAGAAACTGCCTTTTAACAAGAGGCTCTGGCTGTGCCGCACCCAGGCATGCAGGGGACAGCCTTGGGGGAAAGGCATCACGCAATTCTCTTCAAATTCAGTCCATATAGCAGAGCAATTAGTCAGGCTGAATTAATTTACAGCGCTTGATTAGACTAGTGCCCTGTACAGGCAAGTCAACAAACTGGAGTGTTTAGCTCCACTGCCAGTTTGCCAGAGTGGTTCAGATACGCATACTGGGCTCAGCTGGGACATGAGCGCTGCAGCCTGCCAACATCGAGCCCGCATGGGCACCACCTCCATTTCGACAGAGAGGGCAGGAGCAGCCCCGCATGCACAAAACCACTGCCAGCCACCCCCAGGGAGAGCAGAGCACCTCAGACCCTTGCAACAAGCCCCCGCCAGCAGCTGCATGTCAGGACAGCACATGCAAGCCCGAGCCCCCACAGACATAGCTACCTCTTGAAGGTAACGAACTTCACTTTTCAGCTGGTTGACATGTTCTTCATGATTCACACTGCCCTCAGCCCTTGCTTTGAGATAAACCTGAGCAAGAGAGATGTTGACACCAGGGAAGCTGTGAGTGAGACTATCCTGACTGCAGACAACTCAGTAATGTCAGCAAAAAGCCAGGCTCCTCGGAGACTGGGACACCAGATCCCACAGCTTCCCAAGCCTCTGCAGCCTGTTGCATATTGCTGGCAGCTTTCCCCTTTGCAGTCAACCTTCCCTGGCTTTTTAAGAAGCCACTGCCTCCTCCATGCTTCCTTGCAGGACCCCTGTCCTACGGTTCCAGAGTGGCTGCTCCAGGTTGACCCTGCATCCCGCCAAAGCCTGGGAAGTTCCCCGAGCTGATGCAGGCACTGCAGCAAGTCTCCTGCCCGCACAGGAGCTTCTCACTTGTGTAGCTTCACATGAAATGTTTCTTTCAGTCCCACTTATCACTGAACAAAACTAACAGCAGTGGGAAGCTGACAACTGTACCTTAATGATCTCTTCATCACCGTCGTTGGATTTGATACATTCAGACGCCAGGGAGTGACTATTGCTCAATCTGTTGGCCACCATGGCGAAGGCCTTTCCTACTGGCTGCAAGACACAAAAAAAGGGCAAAGTCTTCAGAAAGACAAGACCAGCTGGAACAGTTTGCCCAGCTTTTATGGAGCGAGCACTAGTCAAATCAGTGTTATGCACTTTGGCAGAGGAACATGGCCATCAAGAACAGTCTAAGAAATCAGCACTGGAGTGTTTAACAGATCAGGAGAGGAATTTTCTACTTCACAAAGCATAAAGCAACTGATCCTCCCTCCAAACACCAGTTTCCCCCTCCCCAAAGTTAGCATGCAAACTTGCATTTCCCACTCCAGCTTGCACACACAAGTTGTGGAATCTTCTTCACCGCAAAGTTCACCCATCTAAAGTTCCACAGGGCAGTTTGGCCATGCCTATGAGAGGCAAAGCATTCATGTGTGGGAGACACGCACCTTCTGCTTCACCTGCTCCTGTCTATCGCCCGGGACGTCGTTTGGCAGAGTGAGCCTCAGTACCTTCACGCTGTCCTAAAATGAGAGGCAGGTTTTAGGTTTTAACTCCCTACAAATCATTCCTATCTGGCTCCAGCCCTGCACAGATTCGGGCCAAGAGCCAGGCCAGTGTGTTTTGAAAGCCAGCTGAGCATCGCCGTAGACCCACGAACAAGCTGCCCACTCCCTTGGTTTGAGCTCCAGCCTACAAACTAACACTTGGATTAAAATGAGTAAGAGTTAGCACACGATGAAGACATTTATCAAATCCATCAGGGCTTGGAGAAGAGCTGTGACCCAGCCAAGACTGAGGTAATGCAGACAGGCTGAAGAAGCAAGTGCTGGACTTGTTTTAACCCTTCATGAGGGGTCATGGCCATTATCGGTCACACCAGCAGGTGACTTGGGTGCTGCTGCAGGACATTCAGCAGAAGCCACAGAGCAGGGCAAAAGCAGCTGCTCTCAGCTCACGCTCCAGGACGTAGACGTTTATCCCCCTTTCCTTGCCCTATGCACAACTGACCAAGCTGGAGCCCAATGTGCTTGTGCATGGGTGAACACACGCTGGCACGGCCTGAGCTGAGCCTGTTTTGGTAGCTGCCAGCAAGGCAAACACAGCAGAACAGTCCTTGGAGAACCGACTGCTGCTGCAGCCATGTTCACAGTAAAGAGCTTTGCAGCTTACTGCATCTATGGAGGTGTGAGCTGGCACCAGGTTTGCCTTCACTGCTCTTAGTTTCACTGCTCCCTCAAAGCATTCCTGCTAGCGCAGCAGCTAAAGACACATTTCAGTGGTGTTCAGGACACTAGCAAGTTTTTAAGGAGATGGACAGAGAGCTAGAGTATATAAACAGCCTTAAAGCAGAGGGTGCAGACACCCAGAGTGCTCCAGCCCTGTGCTTGAAGGAGCCCATTGGCAACCTGCCATCCTCCACACCGGCACAGAGCACCCTTGGTGTAGCGCAAACCCACCCCTTCCCGGCAGGACCTGCTTCCAGGTGTCACCAATACAGCCTCCAAACCAGGAGCTGCTCAGAGGCTTCGCTAGCCTTGATAAGCGACAGCAGCAGAGGCAGCACCAGAGAGCTGGTGGGTGCCCCTGTGGCCATGGGCATCCCCCCCGCCTTGCCACACCTCAGACACATCAGCTTCCTGCTCTCCAAAGCACCACCAAGGTAGTCCTGCCTCACCATCTCCAAGCATGCTTTTTGCCATTCAAGTCCCAACAAGCCGTCTGTTTGTTTCCAAAATATTGTGCATGCACTGCTCTCCCAAACACTGGCTCGCTGGGAAATTAAGAGCCCTCCTACAGGTCTTTGCCAGAGCCAAATACTGATCATCCCCTTCACTCCCCCAAATGAAGGCAATTATCCAGTGCACACTTCTCTAGAGCTCTGCTAGCACTCAACAGCGCTCATCGTTGAGCCAGGTACTTGCCTGCAACTTTTACACAGGAAACGTTTTCCCAGATGAGAACCGAGGAGTTAGAAACTACCTTTGGAGCAATATAAGCACTAGGAGAGGTTGAGGTAGAGAAAGCATCCAAAGCAGCTGATATTTTTGGTAAGAGTTAGGAATTGTTCATGAGTTTTACACCAGGGGAAGTGACTTCAGGCAGCATCCACAAGCAAAACATCACCCGCTTTTCACACAGAACTGCCACTGAAAGCAAATGGGAGGCAGGGACGAGCAGCATCAGAGCTGTCCTCGCCTCAGCCTAACTCTTACAGGGAAGAGATATCCATAGACAACCAGCGCCAGGGTATTGCCTCTGCTCAGGGGCAGTTAAGCAGCATCTGTGCTCTTTGGTGACTCAGTCTGCCAGCGCCTTTTGCTCCTCAGCCATTTTGGTGCTCTGGGAAGTCCTGCCTTGACGCTAAGAAACCTCAGGTCAAACCACCAGGAAGCAAACAGTGCCAATGCAGACCTGGGAAAGGCTCCTCCTGGCTGCATCCGCCCGGCGCGTCTCAGCCGGCCGCTCACCGGCTCGTTCTCCTCCCCGCGCAGCCAGCACCTCTGCCGCGAGGGAAGGGAAGCCAACGCACCTCTCCCGGCCATCTTAGGCAGCAGCTGCAAGCCAGGAGTTCGAGCAGCCTCTCTGGGCTGCAGGGGGAGAAAACCAGCTTTTTCAGGGCTTTTAAGGTGGGAAAGGCAGGTGCAACCCCTCTCCCCCCACCCCCCCAAGCTTGTTTTTCTACAGTAACCTTCACCACAGTGAATTGTGTCAGCTCCAGCTGTAGGAGAGAAAAAGGAGCCCGTTTTTCTCTAGTGGAAAACCTGTTGCAGGACCGGGAGGTGCGAGTTCCCCTCTGCAAGGGGGGAGACGCCGGCGGCCAGCCTGGAAGCGCAGAGTTGGGTGCTCTGCCAGGCAGGCGCAGGCCTCCGACCGGGCACAGCCGACGCAATGCAGGTTTAACACGTGTCCCCCCAGGTCAGCTGCGAAAGGGCACCAGCCGCGGGCGGGCTCGAAGCAACAAAAGTTCACTAGATCCTTGCCTGCTGCCAGGCAGTTTTCTGGAGAATTAGCCTGTCTAGCGCACAACAGGAATAACTCTGAGGGCTGTCCCAGCCGGCCCTCCTGCAGGAGACATCCGCGCTCCCAGCAGGGCATGGCTTACCCCATCTTTTGTCCCCCTCCGCAGCACCGAATCCACCTCCACCCGGAAAGAGCGGAGCCACAGGAACGCCCCGCGCCAGCTGGCCCCACTTGTTTACCTCTGGGCTATCAGGAAATCAGCTCTGCCAACGCTCACTACCTGTTTACGAGTCGTAAGCTGCTCCGTGCCTCTCCGAAACGAAGGGGACAGGAAATTTCAGGGTCCTCCCCCCCATTATTTTCTGCGGACAGCAGAGCATTTCGCAACATCATGACTGTCCCGGGAGGATGGAGGACCTTGCACTCACCTCCTGGAGTGCCTCATGTTGGAAAAAGTCTTGTAGGGCAACCGCTTCCTGCACACCCTAACCATACACTGGTGCACGGGGTTACTCAACCCAGCAGCACGCGTTGCTCTCAACACACCCTGCGCTGCATGTTTATGGCTTTTACTACCAGCCTCGGGAATTAACAACAATCTGGAGAGCTTAGCGAGGTTTGTTTTCTCACTACAGCAAAGAACCAACAGTCAGAGGAGTTTCAGCGGAACAGTTACGCTCCCATCTGGCATGCTTTCCCTTTTGGTCTCAGTCATCCAGAAAGAGCCGTTTCCCTTGAAATTTAAGGTGAGGGACAGATGGGAAGACGAGGCTAGCAGTCAGGACAGGCTTTCAGGTACACCAAAGTTGTTTAAGTCTTTTGGCACATTGTTTGTTGTCAAGCCCAGCATAAAACCCCACTTGAGAAGCCAAAAACTTTAGAAACCTTTGGGAAGACGCTGGGTAAAAGGCTGGTTGGAGGGAGAGATACTAGCTCTGCTCCACAGAAACCATTCACAGACCAGCCCCAGGAGAAAGAGACCGGGAAAACCACCAGAACAACCTCCTGCATCACAGGGAGAGGGCTTGGAGGAGAAGCAGCCCTGTCCAAGGGCCCCGGAGAGAGTGGCGCGATGCTGATGACACCACATGGTTTTGCAACCATGGCCAAGTCACTTCATCCATCCCAACTGTTAAATAAGAACAGGCCTGACCTGACCCAGAGGGGATCATCAGGGATCATTAGCAAATAGCTCCAGTGTTTAGAGATACCCAGGGTTACAGAGGCATTTATCACCCTAATAACTTATTAGCCAAACTCAGCAATCATTCCTTATAAGGCCAGAAAGCTGCAGGGAATTAGGACTCTCCTGTCAAGACTCAAAGATGAGTCACTCCAGCAGGGGATGGATTCAGGAGCCAGGCAGACACCAGCCCAGCAGAAGGAACCAGGCACCGAGCATTTGCTCTCCAGCACTGAGACCAACAGTGTTTTAGGGGATCCCCCTGCACACATCCCATCACGATCCAGGAAAAAGAAAAAAAAAAAAACAAAGCCAAACTGCCCACCACAAGCCTTTCTTGCCAGGCAATCAGGCAGGTGGGCTTTGCCCCTTTCCAGGGCAGGGCCGGCACCTTGGCACGCTCAGCTCACCCCACGCACAGGGACCCAGCTAGGCAGCTGCCAGCCGCAC